AGCCAAGGCCCAGCTAGACCAACTCGCCGCAGCCAATGCGGCCGCTAGTGCAAGGCGGAGGCACTGGCAGCTAAGATAGCGCTAGAGAAGAAGGCCGAGCACGACCAGAGGGTCGCAGCGGCCGCGCTAGAGCAGAAGAAGAAGGAGGCGGAGCGGCTCGCTAAGGAAGAGGAGGCTGCCGAGCCGGAGTTCCAGGAGGCGGTGGCCGCTAGCAAAGCCTCCCTGCAGGCCCCAGAGGACGCCGCTAACAGAGATCGAGTGGGGCCGAAGGCCCCGACCGCTAGCCCCTCGTTCCCTCGTGCTACCAGCCCGAGCCGAGGCCGAGGCGAGAAGGGCGCCAAGGGCAAGCCGGCCGAGGGCAAGGGCCAGCCGGCCGCTACAATCAATGTGTTCGACTACACGTGGAACACGCTATTTGACGATCCTGACCGCTACCTTGAGCTGCTACGCCGGGAGCTCCAGCAGGATCGCACTATCGAGGCGGCAGGCGGCATGCCGGCTAATGTCCGCGCCGCTAAGGGGCACCGGTGAGTGTCGCGCTAAAGGGCCGGGCCAGACGCCCGCCCACCAGAGCCCACGCTAACAGCCTTCCCAAAGGGAAGGGCTACTGGTACCTTGAGCTATCATGGTCGAGCATCGACCGCGATCTCTGGCCGTTGGGCTCGTGGGATCGCCGCTATGATGTGGGGAAGGGCAAGGGGCCCAACCCCCGCTATGGGAAAGGCGAGGACAATGTGCTATTGAAGAACGCTATCCACCATGGAGAGCATCTCTATACGCTGGGCAGGGAGGATGTTGCACTGATGTGCCGCTACGTCCACCCGCCAGCTAACACCCCCCAGGGGGAAAGGGCTAGCGAGTTGCTAGCCATGCTATTGCCCAGCTGCTATACCCAGTACCAGGCTGGGCGCTGCCGCTACTCCCTGGGCCACTGGGACGCTAACGCCTGTATCTTCAGGTGCGCTACGACCTGCGAGGTCTGTTCGCTAAGAGCCTGTAACAGGCGTATGTGGTTTAAAGTGGATGACCACGCTAGTCACTGTTGTGACGGGTGTAGGAAGTGGAGCCGCGGGGAAGACTGGGGCGGCCGCTAAAAGTGGCCCTGGCCTCGCTACTGGCCCCGGCCTCGCTACTTCCACTCGCTACTTTTGAGATGCACGCGGCTACTTTTGCAGCGCCCTCTGCTGCCGACCGCTAGCCGCAGCAAAAGGTCAGGGCTGCGCTCCGCTACGGCTGCCTGTGTGCATGCAACAGTTCACGCTACACACATGTCGGCAGCCAGACAGAAGGGAAGAGCTAGAGCGAGAGAGTGTCGAGAGTCCCGGGTGGGGGGGGGGCCGGAAGTCGGTGGGGCTGCTAGGGCTGCCTGCTTCTGCAGTGCCTTTTCAGCGAAAGCTATCGACTGGCACTCCCCACACACGCTCTCACGCTAGAAGCTTTTCCCCAATGTGCTAGCAGGAACATATTTCTTTCTAGTCAATTTTTCCTAAGGTGGCATAGGGCCCTTCCGTGCCTGCTACCATGGCAGAGGCTCTGGCAAAGAAGCTAGCCCTCGGAAGCAGCGAACTGCGGTTCCTGCTAGTGCAACACAAAGTCTCAGATGCTATCCAATCTGAGCTCTTTTCCAACGGTATCGATACCGTCGCTAAGTTCGCCGCCTCGGCGACGGATGAAGCTGACCTCAAGAAGATGCTAAAGGACAGCTTCGCGATCGAGCCGGCCACCTCGCTCGCTAGCCGGGCTCAGGCCGCGGGGGTCACCATCGCATGGAGGACCGCTAACTCCCGCACCGAGCGGCAAGCCGAGGCGGAGGCTACCAGCGAGGTCCGGGATTGGGCCAAGCCCATCCCAGCTACCGACTACATGGCTATGCGCCAGGCCTTCACCGCTAAGTTTGGGGACCTGGAGGACAAGCAGACCCCCGCTAAGGAGTATATCGAGAAGAAGCTAGCCGAGCTTGAATCCGGCGAATTCCGGGCGGAGCCGCTAACCGAGGTCATCAGCCGGGACGAGTGGGACCCGGACACGCTACTGCCCGTCTGGAATGGCAACGGCACGCTATCCATGAAGAAGGGTGGGGGATGCCAATCAAAAAAAAATTCTTTTTCAATCAAAAAAAAACTTTTTTTCAATCAAAAAATTTTTTTTCCAATCAAAAAAAAACTTTCCCTTATTGAAGGAGGCGCGACAGGAAGGAAGGAAGGAAGGAAGGAGGGAAGGCAGGAAGGAAGGAAGGAAGCAAGGAAGGCGGGGAGAAAGGGCGAGGAAGGAAGGAAGGAAGGAAGAAAGCAAGGAAGGCAGGAAGCAAGGAAGGAAGCAAGGCAGCAAGGAAGGAAGGCAGGCAGGCAGGCAGACAGAGGGAAGGCAGGAAGGAAGGAAGAAGGGAAGGAATGAAGGCAGGAAGCAAGGAAGGAAGCAAGGCAGCAAGGAAGGCAGGCAGGCAGACAGGAAGGAAGGCAGGAAGGAAGGTACAACAACAACAACAACAACTACTGCTACTACTACTACGGCTGATAGACAAAATCCTGCATTACCCTAAGGACCCTACACTATGGGAATGGTATATTCCTTATTATGGGTAATGCAGGATTTTGTCCATCCACCGTAGTACTACTACTACGACGGCTACTACTACGACGACTACTACTACTACTCCTCCTCCTCCTACTACTACTACTACTACTATTACTACTACTGCTACTACTACTACTACTGCTATTACTACTACTGCTACTACTACTACTACTACTACTACTACTACTACTACTACTACTGCTACTGCTACTGCTACTGCTACTACTATTGCTATTACTACCACTATTACTATTACTATTACTAATACAATTACTATTACTATTACTATTACTATTACTAATACAATTACTATTACTATTACTATTACTATTACAGCCATTTTGGCTCAAGTTTTTGGCTCAAGTTTGGGCTCGACTTTGTCACCGTGTCGTTCTGGAGACTGGGTCGTCGTTCTGGAGACTGGTTGCAACAGGGACCGGGTCGTCCTCCTACTGCTTTCTCCGCCGTCCTCCCCCCCCTCTTCTCCCCCTGCACTGCCCCTCCTTGCACTGCCTGCTTCCTTGCCTTGAGCACTGACTGTTTCCTTTCCTTGCACTGTCTGTCCTTGCTTTGCCATGCCTCGAACGGAAAACGCTGATGCTAAAGAAAGAGGACGAGGGAGAGAGAGGAGCCGTGGGAACAGAGGAGAGGATAAAGCTGAGCGAGGCACCGAACGGACCCAACTACCCAGGGTAGGACCCACAGTCGGAAGTCACCATAACATCTTGGAGCATGGGCCCACGACTGAAGCCGCGAGGCCTCCTAGTTCTGACCCCGGAGCCCGAAGATCCCCCGACAACAAGAAAATCAAGCTTGAACCGAAAGAGCAAGCCGACACCCAACCCGACTCAGAGATGCCCGACCAAGCGGCAGCAGTCCATCCTTTTCTCAGGCTTGACCACAGCTCGGTCTTCCGACCCCATGAAACATTTGATCTCACTTCAGGTGACGACGATGAGCTCAACACAAGCAGGTCCCCTGAGCTACCAGGTCAGGGAGGAGGCGCTGCACCTAACTCGGAACCCGCCAGGCCTTTTGCAACACTTACGGAGCAGACACCCCCACCCCCGGCATGGATCCAGGACATTGTTGAGAGCTTAAAAGGGCTACACATGAAGAGCGATCAAACCCACCGCTATTGCCTTGACCTTGGGGCCACCGTAGGACAACACGATGTCAGGCTTGAGGCTCTCGAAAGCACGACGAAGGCACACACGGAACAGCATGAGACCACAGATGCCAGGATCTCCGCCCTCGAGAAAGTTGTAGGGGACCTTGAAAGAAAGGCCAGATCGCTTACCCCCCCGCGGGGGGGCTCCGACACACCACGAGGCTCCAGAGCAGGCAACATCAGCCCTCGCAGCCCCAGAGGGGGAGGTCCTCCATTGGACGTTTTTCGTGACCCGGCTCAGGACCTAGGTTTGGTTATAGGGGGATGGACTGACGCGAGGGTGCCCGAAGCGGAAACAGAGGTTCAGAACTTGTTCACCGAGGCAGGCTTCCAGGGGGCGATTCTTGATTTTTCAGGACCCTCGGGACGCACTAACTTCTTGAGGATTTCGCTTGACTTCCAAGGCTTGGGCATCACGGAACTTGGTAAGAAACGAGTGTACCAAACTCAGATCGTGAACAAGCTCAAAGCCCTGAAAGCCAGGAGTGGCATTGTAGGGCAAGAAGAGGCTAATTTGTGGGTCCAGCGCGACCGTTCAGTAGAAGAACGACTTCGTATCCGAGCCATCGTACTAGCCAAAAACTTCTACAATGCCCTGCCCCTGAAGGATGATAAGCAAACCAGGTGGCCTGACCCGGAAATAGTGTGGCGAGGCCAGCTGTTTGTTGGGCAGGTACGAACCCTTAAGAATATGGACGACGGCCATGAACCCGCAGCCTATGACCAAATCATAGAAGATGTAAAGGGCAACCATACTGTCTGGTTCCTCTGTGCCGACTCGTACGCCAAGATCACGGGACGCGACAAGGAGTCCCTACAGCAGATGTGGCAGGACTTTGGACCAAGTGCTACCCCCGTGGGGGCCCGCGCTTGACAAACCGCAGCGACGCGAAAGACGAGAGGACGAGCAGACCTGCATGCTATTTCTTGGAATTTGAGGGGTAAAAGTCTTGAGGACGTTGCCCGTACTTGGGATGTTCTTGGTTTTCAGGGATCCCATGTAATTGGCTTGCAAGAGGTGGGATCGCTTCCGCAGCCGTGCCCCACACACGACACTGTACTCCACCACGAACTCAAACTAGCCGGACAATCCTACACCTTCTTCTTTTGTGATCCCTCGCACTCGTGGAGAGGGGCTGCCTTAGGCATCCCCACTAGCTGGCTTGGCCAAGTCGAAAAGACGAAATCCTTTTGCACTGGTCTAGGAGTGATGCTCCGTGACCAAGGCACCCGAAAATTTTTCGCGACTGCCCACATGCCCCACTCGTTACGCAAGGACCACATGCCCGTTTGGCAGCAACAGACCGAAGAACTTTTGCAGTTTTGTGCGAATCGCAGGTATCACGACACCATTTGTTTGTGCTGTGACCTTAATTATGACATCCTGGATATCGTTAACGTCGATGAGCGAGGCGTACCTCTGGGACAGCTCCTGAGGACACTGAACCTCGAACACACACGGCCTTTAGAGCCGACATGGAGAAACACCACAGGGTCCGCTTCTAGGATCGATTTCATCCTCTTTGCCATGCCATCGCTTGAAAGTCGAGATGACCGAGTGGTGTCGCGTTCGGATGAGGTCGTGGGCTCGGATCACTGCGCAGTCAGCATTGCTTTACGGTCGTGCCTCCCCAGCAGAGGACGCGCCTCTTTTAAGCCCTCCAAATGTGGAAAGTGGTGGACTGACGGCCCGGCCCTTCAAACCAAAGCCGAACAGCTTGCTGAGAAGCTGGACCTGAGCATGAATGACCTGTCTATGCAGGACCTCGAGAGCCTTTGTGAAGCGACCTCCAAGCGAGTAACAAGCTGTAGATACGTAGACTCGCCTGCCATCAAAGCCATGATCAAGGCCCGCAAGCAGCTTCGCGGTAAGGAAGCCCAGCAAATGGCCAAGAGCATTGCTGACGCGAGGAAGACAGACAAGCGAGAGTGGCTAGTCCGTCTACTTGAGCAGAGTGCCGCGGGAGACTTCCGGGCGGCTGCATACTTTCGCAAGAGACAGTCTACCATGTTTGTGCAAGGATCATACTGTATGAGAGCGGGAGGGAAAGCCAAGGCCATCAGCGACCTACGATTCTTCTATCAGAGAAAGTACACCCCCCTTGAACCACCGCAACCGGGACTGCCCATGGCTATCTTTCATTGCAGAGCTGGACCCATCATGAACCCTGAACCGTTCACCCTGCAGGAGATACAGGAAGTGGCCTTTCAGTGCAAGCACAACAAAAGCACGGGGGCCGACGGCATCTCATACGAAGCCCTTCAGATGTTACTCCAATCTGACCTGAGTCATCACATCATGGACATGTTCAACAGTGTGTTACAGGGACTGCGTCCCCCCCCACCCAGTTGGCTCACTAGCCACGTGTGCTTCCTCCCGAAAACCACACACCCATCGGCGCCAGGAGATCTGAGGCCTATCGTCCTGTCGAGTACTGCTGCCAAGGTATTCACCAAGGCACTGATGCTTCGCCTGAGGCCCAAGCTGCCGGGGATGCGGGCTTTCCAAGTGGGAGGCTTGCCCAAGCGGCAAACCCTTGATGCTGCTTGTGCGGTCCAACACGCAATAAGGCTCGCCGAGGAGTACGGGAAACCGTTGATCATCATCAAGCTAGATGTGGCGGCAGCGTTCGATTCGCTGTCGCACGAAGCAGTGGCTGCACTGCTGGCAACTGCACAGGGCTCCCGGGAAGCTGAGTTGCTGCTTCAGATCGTGCTAGAGAGTCGGGTGGAACTTGGTCTTCAGGGCACAACGTGGGAGCAACAATTACGCCAAGGCATATTGCAGGGCAGTAGTTATAGCGCGGAACTGTTCGCGCGCTGCATTGACTACTTCCTTACCCCGACAAATGCCAAGTGGCAGGACCTTGAGGAATCCTGGCTGAAGGACCCTAGCGGGCGCAAACTCTTTCTCACTCCCTTTGCTGATGACCTGGTTTTGTTGGCAACTTCGAGGGCACAAGCACAACGGCTTCTTAGCGACAGTGAAGCCACACTTCAAGCCATTGGCCTGAGGTTCAATGCCAAGAAGTGTAAATACCTGCAAACGCCTGGATTTCCGGAGGAACCCCTCACCCTCTCGGCAGGTGAGGTGAAGTATGAGTCGACGTTCCTTTTTCTAGGTATCCTCATGGGCTTTCAGCTGACCTGTCTCATGATCTTGCAGGCACGTATGGCCAAGGTCTCGAGCGCCTTTTGGGCGTACTACAGCATACTGAGGCGTACAGAGGTCGGCTTGACGAGAAGGCTCAGAGTGTTCGACTGTTTCATCACAGCTCGTTGGAGGTGGATTAGCCCGGCCATTCGGCCCATCAGCACTGTTCACAGGTTTCTGCGCACTATCCACACTTCCTTCCTCACAGCCATGCTTCGTTTTGCCCGGGATCCGTTCCAGGGGGCGGTGGAGTCGTGGGTGGCGCGACGCAGGGCTGCTCGACTAGCTGCACAGCAAGTCAATCATCGCGCGTGGCCGGGCGAGCACTCCCGCCAATTTTTCGGCTTTTGGGGCCATGCCGCCCGCTATGCCGTGAGTGACTACATACCCATAGCATTGATGTTGCAGGTGCGAGGTCCTACCTGGTATTTCGCAAATCGAGACTGGCATAAACGCTTGCCAGGTAAATGGGCCAACACCTCTAGGTTCCTGCAGATAGCTTGGGAGAAATTCCTACTTAGGCAGGGCAGATCGCCCCCAACCTCGTGGCTTGAAGGAGCAGCGGATCGAGATCTTTGGAAAGCCTTCTCCCAGGACTGGGCCTGCACCCACGATGCGGACCCGACGGTCTTTTATGCAGGCCCCCCAGAAAATGTCGACCTACTTGGATGCCAGCTTGTACAGAGTGAGGACCGCTTTACCCTGCTCCCCACTAGGCACGTCCCTGTAGAGGCCCCGTACAGCACCTCATTCATGCACCTCAGCAACCCCCTGGACAACCAGATCCAGGACCATGGACAACAGGAACATATCCTTCGCCTGTATACGGATGGCAGTGCCCAACAGGGCCGCAGAGGCCATCCCCAGGTCGGGGGCAGCTCCGTAGTCGTTCTTGCACCATACTCGCTCGTCGAGGAGGCTACGGTTTGCTATTTTAAGGTCCCACAGCCCTGCACTAACATACAAGCCGAACTGCATGCCGCTGTCCAAGCCCTACAGATGGTGCGCCGAATCCGGCAGCACTTTCCACATGTACCGGTACAGCTCTTCACAGATTCGCAGTATGTGGTTCAGGTACTCGAGGGATCCTTTTTAGGGACGCACCATGCTTCAGTCACGAATATGCTCATCCATCTCTGGAAGGAGCTTTGCCTGACTGTGGAGGTCCACCACGTACGAGCACACCAGGGGATTGTGCTCAACGAAGTAGCAGATCATTTCGCCAAGCTTGCATGCACTCTAGGACATTCTCGGAAGGTTTTTTGCCGTTTGAGTTTCAGTCAGGCTTTCATGACAGATAAATCCGACTCTGGTGGCTTTCTGTCATGGCTATCGTGAACTTTGTTCCCTTGCGCCCTTGTTTCCTTGCACTGTCTCACTTCCACTTGTCCTTGGTGTCCTCCTTGCACTGTCTTTGCACCGTCTGTCCTTGCCTGCTGAACTGTCATGCGAGACCTCCTTGTCTCTAACCCCAATGTGTCAAACCCAAAAAAAAAGCAGTGCCAAGCCGAAACCCTCAGGCCATCGTGACATAGTCGAGTTTGGCCCGCCCTCCTTTGTACCACCTTCATGCCATCGCTTCATCTGTGTTCTCCCTAGGGCAACATGAAACAAAAACCAGTAACGACAAGCCGAAACCCTCAGGCCATCGTTCCATTGTCGACAGCGTTACCAAAAACCACCCTGGAAGCACAAACCTTCATGCCTACAGCTGCATCCTATACCGTTTTTCCTAAATACCCAGAACCCTCATGCCAACATCATCACATACCCCGGAAACCTCCAGGCCAACATCATCTCCGTTTTCCCACGTATTCGCCGACCTCTCTCCCAAAACCTTCATGCCAACATCATACCAATGTTTTCTCCTGTCACCTCTCCCAAAACCACCCCGGAACCCTTCATGCCAACATCATGGCGACACGTCTAGGCAGGCACGTAGGGGGGGGGGCAGGTCGGGCAGGAAATAGCTGTAATAAGAACCACGCGAACACGGACAGTGCTAACAGAATCAAGCCGCATACATGCCCTCTGCAGATCGTCATCTGGCAGTTCTGTAGCGACTCAGGTCCAAGTATCCCCAGCCTCCCTACTCGTGCCCCCTCCGTGTTGAGATGGAGCCAGTGACGGAACAGGTCCAAGACTTCTTGGAGCGCGCTCAAGCACTTGTGACGTCGCAGCAGCTGATCTTGACGCTTGGGGTAGCTACCTTCTCAGTCTTGCTCTTCTACTTCTTCCTACGCCGCAGCCTGAGCCATGCGCTCTGCAACGACCTGCAGCAGATGATAGGGAAGGGGCCCCACCCGATTGGGGACTCGACAGCAGGACTAACGGCCATGCAACAATGCTTGCAGGCCCTGGATGACACGGTCCCGGGCCTCTTGACCTCCATCCAGGAATCCATGACTACTCTTTCAGGAGCAGTCACACACCACGGATCCCTACTGGTGCAACTGCAGCAAGATGTGACCGCGTTGACGAGTACAACAACCAGCCACGATTCCCTGCTGCAGCAACTGGACCAAGGGGTGAAAGACATGGGCAGCGTCTCGGGCACAGAGATCTCCGCGCTCCTCAAGGAACTTGGCTCACTCATGGGGTCTCTCCAGCAGCTGACCCCAGCTGCGTCGGCTCAGTTCTTGAAGGACGTCAAGGGGGCCCTGGAAACGAGAATGACGACACTTCAGGACACGCTCATGGAACTGAGCATATCCGCCACAACCCTGAAGACCCGCAAGGTGACGGTGGACATCACACCCTTCAAGGAGCAGTTTGATGGCATCAAGGACCAGCTGGCCAACTTGCTTGCCAAGGTCGACCAGGCTCTTGGGTATATGCGAGACGACCATGCCCTGATCGTCCGCCTCAAGGACAAGCTCGAGGAAACCAAGAGCGACGGCGAGAAACACAAGGCAGCCCTCCAAGGAGACATCCGGAACATCGTCGCCCTAGTGCGCGGCCTGGAGAAGACGTGTGCACAGGCCTCGGACTTCAGCGAGAAAGCTCTGAATGTCATAGCCAAAGGCAACCCTAGCCCGTGGGAGACAGAGCTCAAGAACGTGGTCGACGAGACGGAGAAGCTCCTCAGGTGGGTCGCAGGCCAGGAAGAAGCCCTGGCAGATCGGGCTCAGAAGATCGAAAGTATGTGCACAGGGTTGGTGGACCAGCTCACCGACGTCTCCACCGCCCTGGAGAACCACAGCTCGGTGATGGGACAACGACTTCGCCTACTCAACGAAGTCCAGGGCGGAGTGGAAAAGGTTCTGCACGCCCTTCCACCTCGACAGACTCAGGCAGCGAGTGGACCGAACCAGCCACCACCTATGCAACCGGCCCCGCATTTGGGCCCACATGGCTGGGTACAGAGAGGGACACCACCAGCCCCCGCCCACACGCCGACAGTCTACACGGAGTGGGACAGACCTTCATCCAGCGCGAGACCGGCGCCAGTGATCGTCACCAGCATGGACACTCTGGCAACGGCCTTGCAGCAGCACTCACAACATATGTAGACGGATGCTGTGCATAGTGTCGCCACGGTGGAGCCATGGCCTGAAATCGCAGTGTCATTTTCAGCGGATTGCCGTAGCAGCTGGTATACCCCTTGATACTTTCCCCGATGTAGTGCCGAGCTAAAAAATCTTCACACCTAGGGGCCGAACCATGCTGCAACTGCACTGCTGCTGCCTGCCACTGCCTTTGCACTGCCTTCCTTGCGCTGTACTTTACTTGCACTGACTGTTTCCTTTTCCTTGCCGCCACCTGCGCTGTGCGACTCCTTGACAACGCCCACAGCAAAAAGAGAGACCGAGCCGGCGTCACTTCATGTGTTTAGGGAAACAATGGAAGCTGGTTGAGCTGCACATACTTACTGCGCTTGATCGTCAGACTTGTCGGTTCAAAGGTAGGGGGCCTCTTGTGTGCAGTGCTGTCACATGTCGTTTCCCAGTCTTCAACCGTCTTTAGGACAGACTATTGATTTGAGGACCCCGAGGCCACGCAACAAACCAGGCACAGAGCTCTACCAAGAAGAGAATCAGACAACCACACCATGTCGTGCATGTGCTGCACCCCTGCCCCCATCACTACACCCAGACCACAGTGATCAACGAATCCGACATGTCGAAGCTGAAGCCTTCCGAGTTCTTCAGTTAGACCGACCACCATGCCAACTTGACATCATACGTATGTTTCACATGATACCGGCCACCTTTCGCAACGTGCTGAGCGAGGAAGTGGCACCTACGTAGTAGGAGGAGCTAGCCCCAGATGCAGTGACTCGGTTCTAACGCATTCACTCGACATGCCGCTGTTCAATCTAGTCATCAACCAGCATCTCAAGTGGATTGCTCCGCTTCATACCTACACTACGTATGTTGTCCGACGAGGTTGTATTGATCGTGTTCACCGTGACACCCGGAATGCCCCCACGCCCTCCCTTGTCATAGCTCTCAATACTCCCGACTGGAACAACGACGGCCTCTGGATACAGGACCCCCGAGGCACAGTCCCCAAGGAGCACCAAGGAATCCAACTGTGGGGTAGAGTTGAGAGCCTTCGTAAACCCCTTGTATTCAACCCCCGTAAAGTACTCCACGCCGGCCACGTTGCGAATCCCGACAGGTCCCAGGAGCGCCTCATACTTGTTGCATTTTCGGTACTTCAGGCTTCGGTTCTAACTTTGGGAGTTCAGGAACATCTTCGAAACCTCAGGTTCCCTCTCCCGTCCCAGTTGGAACTTCATGTTGCTTTGCACGGGTCCTTGCCGCGCCTTAAACAACAGAGCCTGCACACCTTTTTCAGCAAGCACAAGCACGTAGTTGACCTGCACGATGTTGTCGAGATTGAAGAGTCCCAGTGCGCATAACCCGTAGTGGCCCCGTGTGTAAAATGCAGGGCCCACTAAGGATCGGCAACTTGGCTGCAAGACCAAAGACAGAAAAGAAAAAAAAACTTTTGTACTGTTTTCCTTTGCACTGCCTTCCTTGCCTTCCTGTTTCACTGCACTGTGCACTGCCTGTCCTGAGCTCCTTTGCTGCTCCCGCTGCCTGCCCTGACTGTGTCTCTCTCCCGGGTCGTCGATCTCGGTCCTGTCCACCATTACTTCAGTACGCTGCGCAAGAGCACGGTCTCCGGATACCTAGACCCCCATGTTGTGATATTTCCTTGTAACCCCCCCTAAGCAACCACTAACCAATCCACCACGCCGCCATGGCCGCTGGTGCTTTCGACCGCCTCACTTTGGCCTTTTGCACAACTGATGACAACAGTGAACGGTGGGCCGCGCTGCCTTGCCTGTTTCTGGAACGCCGAACACCACACCTGCAAGGAATGGGCCGTGCTACCAGGGACTGCTTGAGGTTGCTCGTGATTGGTTTTTGGATGCAATGGAGTTTCTGGCGCATGTCTTTTGAACAACTGGAGACAACTGCAAACGGTGGGCCACGCTGCCTTGCCCCTTTCTGGAATGCTGAGCACCACACCTGCAGCGAATAGTCTGGGCTACCAGAGACTGCTCGAGGTTGCTCATGCTTGGATTCTGGATGCAATGGACCAACCCTGTTGACCTTGGGCTGATGCAGTGGATCGGCCACGTCAACTTTGGGTTCCTGGCGCAGTCTCTGGACTCACGTTGAGATGTTTCGGAGTGGACCACTGCTGGACACAGTTGATCTGGAGCTGCGAGTGACATCGGCACACTGCCACCGGAGCCACGACATTCTTGCACCCTTCTGGAATGCTAGGGGTCCCTTCAGGATGGAAGCCATCAGTCTGGACTGGTAGAATACCTGGATCCCGGACGCCGCGAGGGCATGAAAAGCATCTGGAAAACAGGCTCTGGATCGGGTCGGATGTTGCTGGGAACTGACTTCAGACAGTCGGTGGCCAACCGCACCTCGCTGCACCCTGCCAATGACGATGCTGAGACGACCATATGTGAGACCACGTGTCTGTGCGATCTGCGGATTCCCTGTTTGTAGTGAGCAGTGTGTGCAATCGAGCCTGGGCACTGTACTGGTAGCGTATGCGGAACGTCTGTACGCGTTTGGTTGGTTGTTCAATGGCAGCCGTAGGGTCACCTCAACGATGTACTGGGCCCTCTTGCACTGCAACTGCTGCTGTAGTTTCGCCGCTGTTCTGTACTGTACTCTTCCTTGTAGAACTGCCTTGCTGAATGCAAACACACCTGGCATGACCTTCGTGGCTAGCGTATGCTCTAGGTGTGGAGTGTTGTGTGTTTTGTTCAATGTAGCCGTAGCTTTTCAACAAAGGCATGCCAGGTTTGCTTGCGTAGAACGCTGCTACTGTGTATAGTCGAACTGAGCGTGGTTAAGGAGACTTGATGTACTGTCTTGTGCCGAGTCTGAAGTAGCTGTAGCTTCAGCCTGAGAACACAACCTTACCGGACTCCTTGTTCATTTTACGCTGCCCAACTGGCATAAACGTATGTGTAGTCGTTTGACGTTGTTCGAGAGAACAGGGAGTCTTGGAATGTTGTGTAGCCGTGTGAGACGTGTTGCCTGCAGCGCGGAATCGCAAGAGTCCGACAAGTGGGAGCCAAAACTATTACTATTACTATTACTATTACTACTACTACTACTGCTGCTACTACTACTACTACTACTACTACTACTAAGCATCTGGGCTCGAACGAAGACTGTCCGTGTGTGTGTGTGTGAGTGTAGAAGTAGGCTGCAGGATGGTACTTACACACCTTCTCCTCCTGGCCTGCCTTCTCTCTCCCAATCCTTTTCCACCCCATCCGCAAGCCGCTGGGACCAAATCTCCGCCCGTGGCCGACTTGCCCTGGCCTGAGAGGTGCGAGCCTCAGCTGGTACTGCTACCCTGCATATGGAGCAACAGCCAGGACCTGCCGTCCCTTCTCAGCGCTCCTGCCGATACTTGCAGGCTCAAGCTACTGCCTAGTGTCAGCATACCGGCCCCTGCTGTGTCCAGAGGCCCTGCCGAACCATGTCGCGGCCAACCTCAGACCAACCTGTGGCACCATCAGGATCGCCTCCACCCACAGAGCAGGTCAACCTTGCCGAGACGCTGGCCAGCTTGCATCAGACCCTGGACAACACGATCGTCCGAGAACGCTACAGGGCAGGGCTGCACCATCAGGTATGGAACACCAACAACTGGGACCGCATCGGATCAGCGACTGCACTGCGCCCTGGTCCCCTGCCGACCACTGACGAGCCCCAGAGCTGTCAGAAGCCTCAGGCCCAGCCGGGCTCTCCGGACTCCATTGACACGGCGGATCTCATGGCAGCTGCTGAAGAAGCGGAGCGGACTCTTGCTTCCCTGGCCAAGCCCTCCAGCTCTAAGGACCCAAGGCGCTCTCGATCGAGATCCCGCTCTCCTGTCGGTACGGAGACCACACCAAAGGCACCAGGCTCCCTCCCTTCTACAGACAAGTCTTGATGGAAGCCGTTTCAGCCAAGTTGCCCAGCAGTGCAGCACCGACTTGATACTGGCCACAGCAAAAGATCGATACTGGCTTGCGCTCACGACCTGTGCTCTTGGCCCTGCTAACACCCATCCCCACTTGTCCTGCCCCTGTACTGGCCCAGGTGACCCTACTACAAGGACTACACTGCCCGTGACTCACACCGAGCACTATGTCTGCAGTCATTCCCTCACCTCTGCCCGTGCACCCAGGCTAGAGGGGTCCTCGCCTGCGGTGGCCTGTCCCTCGGCACCTGCTTCCATGGACGCCGATGTGACCGCCCCACGCGATGCTCAGGCGCAAGCTCTCGCCGAGCCGGCGCCTCACTGTCACTGCCCCGACCCATGTGCTAGAGTCTTCCGACACATGTCGGCTCTGTCCTGCCGCAACCGCCTGGCGCCGTTCCTGACGGACCTTCAGGCCTGCCTACCTCCGTCGACCACACAGGCCCTCTCATCGAGCAGGCCCCCGCCACTACCAACAGCCAGCGTTGCTCCTCTGTCTTGTTGTGACCGGCCTCTGACGCAGCTGGGTACCTCTCAAACAGGAAACCAGCCCTGGTCCTCTATAGACCTGATATTCAGGGCCTTTGACGGGATGCCGCGGTCAGACAGCAAGCGGCGACGTGATCAATCCCGACCTGGCAGGCTAAACCGTCTGTACACTCAGGAGTGTGAAGGTGTTCGACACCCACGAGAAGCTGCACCTCCGCCCTGCACCATCTACTCCGAGGCGTTCTATCATCGTTCTCCAGGTTGGATGCAGCGCTTACATGAGCAGCTTATGCAAGAACAGCAGCCAGACAGCAGAGACCTGGAACCAAGGCCAGAGACGGCCCCAATTCGCCTGAGGTCCGCGGGCCGTTCCAGACCGGGCGCCTCGCCGACGAGACTGACTCGCAGCCGGCGCTCTTCCTCGCGTTCCCGACGGCCGCCCAGCACGAAGCCCAGGCGCAGACCCCGGTCTCGAAGCCCTGCGAACAGGCCACCTCCTTCCAAACCAGCGCGGCCCCAGGGCACACCGTCGCCGCCTAAGAAGCCACGCCGGAATACAGCTCCC